AAGCGCCAACCGTGCTCGGCTGAGCAAACTCAAGCAGGGGACGACGAGAGAGTTTCGGCCCCCGCCTGTAAGTTTCCCTGTAGTCCCAGGTTAGCCGCACACGTGGGGAAGTTCCTAAAAACTACCCCCGCGGTCTCGCAAACCTGGCAGCTAATCATAGCTCCCAGACATACATTCGCAAAGTGTCCGGCTTGTCTGCACCGATAAAAGGTGGGAGGCGGCCTACCTCCCTTACGGTTAACGCGCTTCAGGCATTGCGAGCTTCTATGCCCCCGTCCTCCGCACGAAAAATAATTTCCCCCGAACGCGCGCGAGCTCACGCCTGAGCCCTCGCTGCTTCGCTGCGGGCCCCTCTGCTGGGTAACCAAACTTGGCGGGATCGATGCTCCTGCACCCGAGGTTGGCCTACCATCCTCGCCCTGCTATGCCGCAGCCGTTAATACTTCATTCTTTGACATGTTGCTGCTCTTCCTCTTTAACCGCCTTTTCGAACACCGTGCACCTGATCTATCCTCCGGTGTCACCTCTACGTTCTTCTCCGCCTCTGTCACCGCATAACTTACCATTTTTCTCGCTGGTCCAGCTGAACTTCTATACGCCGCGTCCTGAACAAGCATACTGTCGGCCGCCGGGGAGCGGTTGCCATCTCTTCTCCCTTGCTCGCTGACGCTCGAATTCTTAACCTACCCTTTTTAACTCCCGGAGCGTGGCGAACGACTTCCCGTACAAATATCTCGCGAAGGTAGGATGCAAGCCTTCTTTGCAAATCGCCACCTGCCTTTTCTCCGAAGGGAGCCTATCAAAACGGCGAACGATGCACTGGAACGCGGTCAGGTAATCAGTCAGCATTTCGCCCTCAGCCTGCATCCATAACCGGACTCTTGGTACAGATCCTCTCTTTGATAATGTCTTCCGAATTCCTTCTTCAAATCCGCAAGGGCTCGCAAGTATACTCATTATTCCGGTACCAGAGCGCAGCCTTTCCTGTACTATACCCACCGCCCTGAGTACTTCATCGTCCTTTAAACCGTAGAAATCCTGACATTTTCGGATATCGCCCGCGGAACCATCCACTTCCGCTCCACCGTCGTCCGAAAACTTCAGCGACCAAGAGCGAAAGGCCTTTACCGCGTTTACCGATTTATTATACCTATAATGTCGGAGCTGACGCAGACCTGAGCGCCCGATAGTCCTCAGATGCCTCGGTCTACGACTGGCCAGCCCCGCCGCGTCCGAACACGATGACTCGCTCTAGTTATCTTCCTACTCACTTACCGATGGGTACCTCGGCCTATGCTCCTCTTTAGGTCCCCTCGTATAGGTAAATCGTGGTTTAACGCGCGGTGACGTTCCCTCTATTTTCACGGCGTGATCATTTCGAGCGCCGTTTTTCAGCAGTTACTTAACTAATTCCTCCCATTTCTTCATGACCTTCCCTACCTCGCGTGATAATGCCGGGGTACTCGTGCCCCTATCTGACAACCCTAAAATTCCCCTTGCGGTGGCATCACTCTCCTTTGAAAAAAATTCATCCTCCGAAACCGGCTCACGTGAGCTATCTTCCCGCCGCCGGCGCGATGCAGAGCGAGACAATCGCTCCTTTCGCATCCGTCTATGTGGCGTCCGAGCTGCTGTTATCCCCTCAGCGCGCGGCGTATTCCATCTACCCGCTAGCATTCCCAACGCGGCCTCTTCTACGCGATATAAATTATTCACACTCTGAGATAACGCTGCTCGCACTTCCCTTCGCATAACTAATCCAGGCAGACTCGCGACGATATTCCATACCTGTCTGAAAACGTTGGACTCATCCCCGATATCCTGGAACGCTCCCTCTCCGTGAGGTGCCAACTCTTTCCCTGTATCGACGGGAGCCGTCACCCCAGCATCCGACGCGTTTTGAGCATTATCTTATCCGTCTTCAATCCTATGCTTTGACCCTCTTCTCTGCACCGCAACCGGTCGCGATCGCTTATCCGCGGACGCCAAACTCTCTCGCCTACGGATTAACGCAGGCTCGATCTGACCCTCCACTCGTCCGTCGCGCACTCCGCTTTCATCCGGTTGCAGGTCCATATTTACCTCACGCGATTCGTCACGCAGAATACGCTCCGGTGGGCCTGGCATAAAGCCCGTTTCAAAGTTGCCAGGACCCAGGGATGGATTGAGTTCCGACCGCTCACGTGAGATCATGTAGCGCAACATGCGCTCCTAGAGTTCCCTAAAGCTATCTGTCACGCTAAGGCCATAGATTTTAAGGAGACTCATTAACTCTGCGGGCGGCGTCTCATTGATTCGCCGCTTAAGAGCTCGCACCGATCTGTCTTTTTAAAATTTCGCGCATAATCGCGTTCACCGTCGCACTCGGTGGCATCTTGACGAGTCGTTTGCTTCTCGCGCTGCCCGAACTCCCGGTCAACCGTCACGTTCGCGATGTGGGCACAACCGACGACCGCATTGCGCAACTGTCACAATTATGACAACAAAATTAAAACAAAGGACACTAATAACCAACACTAACTCGTCTTAAATCGCAGTCCGAACTACACTCTTTGTCCACGAATACGGTTTCCACGCATTTGTTTCGACTCCCATCTGTCCGTTACAACTCCAATAGAATAAAATAATATTTCAGGTAGTGCGGATTATACACACTGCTCTGAGTCCTTAATCTCACAATAAAAAAACCAATATTCTAACTACTCACACTCGTCGCGGCTCCCAGTCAAGGGCGCACCTTAAATAATCTGTCGATCTAAACAGATTGCTATTTAACGGCCGTGTAGATCAAGTGTCTAACTAACAACAACAGTTTCTTAAATCTCATCGCTTGTCCGTCCTTTTACTGGCCGTATGCTGTAAATATGGTGAGTAGTGGCTTTCGACAAGTTAGGTCAATCATTCACTCATCTGTGGCTGAGCGCAGCAACGACAGCACAACCATGCTACGTATATGACCGCATATCTCTCTCTCGCTCGGCGCGCTCTCTGAACCCGAGATGAGAAGCGCAAACAAATACTGTTCGAACAAATAACGCAGCTCGGCCGATCGTTCGATTACCCCTCCTCTCAGCCTCAACCGACCTTTTTAAATTCTTTTGTTTCTTCGAATTAATTTTCTCCTTTAGAATTCCTGACTATAATATCGCGTCCTATTTCTCTCTTCTCACGACTATTTCAATCCCGATTTTCGCGATTTCCCCACAAGGGATACCATGTAACACGTTCGTTTGTATTTTCCTATTTTCGAGTCGGAAATAAGCCCAAGTAACGTCGCGTCACAAATTATTTCAAGGGGAAAAGTCCGGAAGGCGTAATCGCTTCGTCGCAAAAAATTAATGATGGGTTTCCATTACCCGACAATCTCAATAGTCGCGATTTTATCTAATTATAAGAGGAGGCAGGGTTATATAAAATCTTTTCTTCTATAATCAATTACACTCTTTATTCAAATTTTCCTATTTACATATCCGGCATGTTTTGACTTGTGCGTCGGGCAAAGTCCAGGCTAGCCTGTCCCGTGCGAATTAACGCACCGGAGGCAAAGCGTCGCCTTACAAAATAATCCCGCAAGTCTCCGTGAACGCGGTGCGAATTCTACGCACGCACAACCACCCGTCCACGTCCGGCCAATATGATGCCTAGAGAGAGAGAAACCGAAGCGCGCACCAAGGAAAAACAAGGGTACCTGACCTTAAGAGGGAGGGCCATAGAGAAAGTCCACGTCCGTCGGCTTGACTGCTATCCTCGAAGAAGGTGGATCTATCACGTCGTAGTCGGTCCTCTCCCCTAAAGTCTGGCGTAATTTTTGCAAGAGAGCTGGTAATCACGCTGCTCACACTCACTTTAGTCGCGAGGCTAATCCAGCTAATAGGTGCGTTGTTGGTCAAAGCCACACTGTCCTTGCGATCTCGCGCTTTTCGCGGCGTCTTCCGCGTCCATCCCTACAGGTCAAGCGTCACCGGCTAAGCACACACGTGCGACTCATGCCGGCGACACTATGTCTCTCTCCCTTCTTCTCTCGTTTCCCGCTCTCGTTCCGACCCTCTCGTGCCAAACATCAACGCCGATCAGGAATCAGACCTAAAACAGAGCCATATCGTGCGTCGAAATTCGGTTTGAATTCGATGTGACAGCGGCCAAAAGGAAATGCACGCAGAAGAGAGAGAGAGAGAGGCGAACAGGGCGAGCGAACTCAACGGTCGCTCCGCCCGTCACAATTTACGTAATCTATGTTGCTTCTATTTTAGAAATAATGTGAACGATGAAAACTTATAAACAATAATAAATCACCTAAGCAATCCTTTAAAAAAATTTGAAAAAAATGGTATTCGTAAAAATTAAAAGTAATAAAAGTAAAAGTTTTCTGAACAGATGTTTGATAATTCACCTTTATTCAACCATGTATGGTTAATTTTTGAAAATTAAGAAGTATTATTTTGGATGTAAATTATCCCACTGTTTCAAAATCTGTTGTTAAAAAACAAGATTAAAATAATTTTTCGACCTTTCAATAACCTTAAAAATTGGGCCGTAATGTCAAAAATCTCTACGTTATTGGCCTATAAATTCACTTTAACATTTATTTGGTTGCAATACATATAAGATTAAAGTTTTGAACAAATTTTTACAATTTTATCTTGATTTGATCTTTTTAGATATAGTTTGCAAATATCATTTCGGCGTAAAATTTCTCGCTCTTTACGAATCCTATTTTAAAAGAAGAAATGCCCATAAAAAATCACTTTGATCCTCAAATAACCTTTTAAAATCAATCAGAAAGTCAACACTGATATGACACAAAGATGTCATACCATTGTCTTTCCCAACCCATGCTATACCCAGATAAATAAGTGGATCGATTGAAATGACTTACCCTTTATATTAAATAAATATTAATAATCAATTAATAGAATAAAAAATAAAAAAAATTTTCTTGATCTCTTTAGTTAAAGTCGAGAAATCCATAAATATGTATTTAATATCATAACTTATTTTAGGGAAAACATTGTATCCTTGATGTAAGTGGAAATGCGATCAAACGATTGTATGCTGCTCATCTTTATCCCATTGCGCTATTTGTGAAGGTTATGTCTGCACAATCTCTGATGTAAGTGAAGTATTTGTTATTCTTTTTAAAAATATAAATTTATTATTTTTTTAAAACATATAACATTCAGTTTACCTAAATTTTAAGTTTTAAGTTTAATTACTGCTGCAAGCTTTTGACACTATACTCAATATAATGTTATTAGTAGTTCATTTCGCTCTCTACTCATACCATTCATCTATTCTATCATATAAATAAACAATCACCATACTCATTGATGCCGCTACTCCTCACCTCAGATCGTAGGCACGCTCCGCTGGACCTGAAGGCACCAGAGCTACGTCATGCACACATACGCCGGGATAGGATAATAGGAATCGAGCACGCCTGCGAGCCTACCTAACTATTCGACATGCAATTGCACATTGTCCGACAGAGATGCCAGCTCCGATGGTGAATTATTATGAGCGAGCGGCTCCTGCGTGGATTCTTCAGCTGACTTCGTCATATCCGTCTCGTTGATAAGTGAGACTGGGGCATACAAAGACGGGTAACTTCGTCGTCGTGACTGCTTTAAATCGCGCTTTTCATTTCGATCTGGTCTCTTCTCACTATCGCGCGACGACCGCGTTTTCCTCCGATGACTCCTGTCTCTGAACTACCAAGGCCAGCTTACCCTTAATCCTAGCCTTCCTCCTACGTTTACTACGCTACTACTTATTTTTTGGCTGTGCCGAATGAGATCGTGGCTCACTCGTCAACTTCCTGGTACATTTATTATTGGAATAATACTGATTTATTATTGGAATAATAATTACTGATTTATTATTGGAAGGATACTCAAGTTTACCACCAGTCGAGGATTGTCCAACACACTAGGCTTAACGGTTGTCTCTACTTCTTGGTTACGAGCAGTCCTCAGGTGGAAGATAGACTATGGTCTGTTTCCTCCACGATTATTACATTTCGAATACTACAAGTTTCATTGTTCGCTACCTCCGTAGTTATAGAAATTACCATTGATAAATTGAGGATCGAAAGATTATCAAAAAAAATAATCAAAAGATTTTTCGTGTCTGTGTTATCGTTACATCATCCGTTACTGAGAAACTAAACTATACGGGATAGCACGTGATTGGTTTTCTCCCATTGACGGATTCACCGGAAAGGTGATGAATTTAACGCCAGCCGCCCTCATACTTCTATTATTCTTATTGCCCTCAATCGTTCTACTTCATTCCTTTCTAGTTATAATACGATCATCGCTATCTTGTCTTTTGAATCCATGCCAGCTTTTCTTATATTACTACGCATCAAATTTTTACTGCCGGTCTTCTTTACTGGGGTTAACTCTACGATACTTTCGATCTTTCCTACTGTCACAATGGCCAATTTCTGAGTCGGTTTCGTCGAGCACAAATCGGCTGCATCTGCGACATATATGTTACTAGCCACTGGTATGCAAACCGGTATGTGTTAAATGTGCAGCTTACTCACTTCAACTCTCGCAGGAAGAAAAACTTGTTCCAGTACAGAAATCGAGCGAACATGGGATATAAACCCTCTTTACCACTAATTATTTCCTATTCCAAGGAAGCGCCATCATACCGTGAAATGATGTGTTGAAAGGCTGTCAGGTAGTCGTTCAAGGATTTTTTTTTTGTTTGAATGCGTAACTAAAACCCTTGATACAGATCAGCACTTTTCATGTGTTTTTCGATTTCACCGTTAAAATTCGAAAAAATTCTTCTAAACTACTTAAACTTAATTCATTATTCTTATACCAAAAGGATAAAAATAATGTCCTCTCTATCAGTACCATCCACCAATAGTTTCTAGTACCTCGTCATCTTTTAGGTTGTAAAAAGTTTGACACCACATTACATTTCCCAAAAAACTGTCCGAATCCAAATCGGCACTTCTCGAAAGTGTCAACGATCAGGCACGGAAAGCACTCACCATATTAGCCTATTTGCCATTGTTACATCAACACGGCTAACGCAGGCCCGTGCATTTCAAATTTCTCGAACACCCACTCTTGCAAATATCCTCGTCAAGTCAGTCTTATACTCATCCGAATTAAAGGAATTATTTTTGCTGTTACGAATTTTGATTGATCTACCCGGTCTTTCATTCTTTCAGCTCAAGATCTCAGACCCGTTTATTTCGTCCTTTATTCTAATTCACTTAGCGTTTTCTTGAGTAAATTTTTCTATCCTGTTTTTATTATTTCCAATTTTTACGGATTAACCAGTGTACTTATATTTTACCGAGAACTCAAGAAGGCGTTTGCTACAGCGGTATCGAATTTCTCATCCGGGATAGATTCATTCTTAATCTACTCAACGTCGGTAGTGGCTATTGACATCTCATTCTAGAGCATTCACTCGGTTGCACGCATACTAAAGTTTCGAGCCGCTCTGGTCCGTTCCTCCACCGGTACTCCAGAGTCAGTTGTTCTATTCAATACAGTGCTCGTTCTATCTGACAAAGTTTTATGCACCTTTCAACGAAAGACTAGATTCAACCAGTATGCAAAAGCTCTCCACATCCAGTCAAAGATATCCGACTCATCCTTCTAGTCGTAATAACGCACCGGCACATGTGGTGTTTGTTCTCGTCCGAAACCTAGTACGTTTTATACATCGGATAAATTGTGCCACTCTTGCTCCTCGTTGCTTGCATTAAGCTCGGCCCTTCGGCCTCGCACTGAGACTTAGTGCGTCTTCTAACTTTTTGACGCAGCCTTAACCGCGCTTCTCGCTTGCTGATATTCACTATGAAATTCCAAGCGCCACACCAATCGGTCCCAGAGATGGATAATGAACGTACAAGCACAGTTGAAAATCCCAACGGAGAGATACGATTTATCAGCTCTCTAGTCAATTTCTTAAGATCGGTGTGACTTTTCTAAAGAACCAATTGCAAGTTTACGCATTCGTTACTCTTATCACCGAATATTCTCAGCTTATTAATAAAAACAACAAATAATGAAATACAACACAAACCAACAATCTTAATAATAATTCCATAATCCCAATACAAAATCATAACTTATCATTCATAACGAACGAGCCTGATAAATATTCATTTAACGTTCTTTAGCAATGCAAGATTTAGAGGGGAGTGAGGCAGAAAGACAGACGGACAGATAGAGAGGAAGAGAGTTGTAACAAAGAAACTAAATATATATATAAATATAGATCAATCTATGTCAAACGGATAATGACTCTGTCTAAAATTATAGATCACTTAAAAAATCGTGGATATGCTTAAAATTTCTATCTTATACTCTACTTTTGTTTGCGATGTGACTATTTTGAAAAATATAAAATTACGGCTCCAATATGACGGCTCACACCTAGAAATTTCATTTTGAAATTCAAAAAAAATCGATTTTAATTCATTCAATTATGATTCTAAGTATTTACTTTATGCCAGAAATGAATTCAGTGTTCAATTTTACATAGGAATATAGTAATGCACTCGAGGTAAAAATATTTTACAATGTCATCTGTAATGAATGAATCCGTTATATCCTACCAGGTCTCGATCAAGGTCATTTGAAGGTCAAATTACAAATATTTTTTTATTTTTTAATAAGAATAGCATATCTACAAGTTTTACGTATTGCTGAATACAAATTCGGGGCCCACCGGAATGTCAAACAACGAAGGTTACAGAAAAATTTGTTTCACACTGTGGTTTGTTGAAAAACAAAAATCTTCTGTTAATCGATATTCTACTCTACCCTATTAAAATATCATAAAAATTTATCTGTTCAGTAAATGGTTAGGATATAACATATGTAAAAATTAGCGATATTGGGTATGAGAATGAAACTTAACATCAATAATTTTTTTATATTTTTTATATTAATCATATATTTATATCACTAAATTTACATAGGTAAAAAGTATGTATGACTTTATTATACATAAATTTGACTTTTCTGCTGTAAAAACCTCTCTATTTTCATGTTTTTTGCATTCTATGTTCTTGTTTGGTATGTGACACTATTCTTTAAATTTCACGCGTTTTGGGGAAATATACTTTTTAATAATTCCTACGAGCTATGCAAAGGCCCGTACCCAAGCTTCGTGTCGCAAATTATTTCAAAGGGGAAGGTAAGGGAGACTTTTTCGTTCCTCTAAATGGTGATGATGGGCCTCGTCACTACGAGGGTGGTCCGATAAGTACTTAGCCTACAAAAGAAAAACGAAAATTTTGGAAAAGTGGCGTTTTATTTTTCAACATAGTCTCCATTTAGTTCGATACATTTGGCCCAGCGATGCTCCAACTTCTTTAACCCATCTGAAAAATACGTTTCCTCGAGGTCTGAAAAGTAGGCTTCCGTGGCAGCGATTACCTCCTCATTCGACTCAAATTTCTGCCCGGCGAGTGACTTTTTCAAGTTTGGAAACAAAAAGAAGTCGCACGGGGCTAAATCTGAAGAATACGGTGGATGGGGCAGCAGTTCGTAGCCTAATTCGACTAATTTGTCCATGGCGATGACGGAGGTGTGAGCCGGTGCGTTGTAATGGTGGAAAAGCACTTTTTTCTTCGCCAAATGGGGCCATTTTTTCTGCAATTCGACGTCGAATCGGCCCAATAATTCGGCATATTACAGCTCTGTGATCATTTTGCCCCTCTCCAGGTAGTCGATGTAGATCACACCTTGTGAATCCCAGAAAACAGTGGCCATCACCTTTCCGGCAGATGGGGCAGTCTTCGCCTTCTTCGGAGCACTTTCGCCGGGTAAAGTCCACTGTTTCTACTCTTCCTTTGTCTGTGGTGTATACCAGTGGATCCATGTTTCGTCGATTGTCACGAAACGACGTAGAAACTCCTTCGGATTGCGCTTAAACAGCGTCAGACATTGCTCTGAAGTTGTATCACGGTTGCGCTTGTTGTCCGGAGTGAGCAAACGCGGCACCCATCGCGCCGACAGCTTTCTCATACCCAAAATTTCATGCAGAACATGACCCACGTGGTCTTTTGAGATGCCTGCGATCTTAGCTATCTCGCGCACCTTCAATCGTCGATCTGCCAATACGAGA